ATGGTTAACATGTCCTCAAGAACCAAATAGTATCCCCATGAGTTAAACATACCATGGGAGGCTGAACATCTCGAACAACTTGTGATGAAATAACTTTCCCCCTATGATGTCCGCCACGAGTTGTTGCATGTACTTCAGTTAGTTCAACAATCCATACACTTGTCTCATTTGATTTTTTGTTGTAAACGACCAGTCTAGCTCTCCTTGGAGGGAGCTTAGAAGGAATTACAGGCCCACCTTTCGTTGTCGGCAGTAATGATGGTTGGAAAGGGGGGAAGAAATATGCATCTGCCAAAGCAACGACATGCTTATCTGGTTCCAACAGAACCACTTCAATAAACCGCATGCTATCTCTGACCTGAAAGAAAAACATTGTAAGTCAATTACAACCAAATAATTTGTATACATATGTAACAAGACACAAATCAGATTATAAGTAAAAACCTCAGGAGTGGCTCCAGCTGCCCTCACAGTTGCCACAGCCACTGCGATTTCAGCAGCAGATAACGGGTCCAATGGATGCCTGGTTTGAGCCCTTAGCATCATCTGGATCCCTGCTCAAACATAGCATTAATCAACCAACAGTAATGTCATACTATTTTACAGAAAAAGGTCTCCAACCATAATAACAATAACAAGAAGAATAAGTGTCAGAAAAACTTCAATCGAAAGCTACTTGAAGAAATATAACTAGATGCTCAATAACATTGGACCAATTTGAAAATTCAATACACCAAATTGTTAGCATAAGTTAAACAAGAAGCCACACATGTAACTAATCTATGTTAGTGGCATCAAACTAAGCACAGCTACATATAGAAACAAGCATTCCAATTACTAGCAAAGCTTAGTAGGAAATTAGTATTTTCCCATATCAATTACAACACAAGCAATGCTCATTCTGTCATGCCATTACAGAAAAATGATGGGAAGATGAGGTTTTTCTGAATATCAATTTGGAAACAATTAAAAAAATATGTATATATTTTTTTTCATTTCAGCTGAGTCTCATCTCCTTATTTCAAACTTGATTCTATCTCTTATTTTGTATTTCATGTAAAACCTTGAATTGAAAATATGTACTTAGAGAGTGAACATGTAGGCCATCACAGAAGAACAATAAATGTGAAATTGCATTTGTCACACTGCAAAATCACAGAAGAACAATATTTTAACAGCACAACAAACACTGATTCCTCCTATAAAACAACCAACTATAACCCCCTCCATACTTAAAAATGCAAAATTCCAAAAGCACAGCCTCCAACATAGGAACATAATGTCACCATTAATCAACAAAGGCCTTCGATAATTACACAGGCAAAAGAGAGACCAAACAACAACACAGACCATTTGTACAACGCAAACAAAAGATTTTACAATAATTGTCAAGATGAAAACAGGAAAACTGAATCAAATAAAACAATTATGTTATTGTTCAAGTCTGTCTTCCAATACTTTGAATAGTAGCAAATATATATACGCATTTTCTTGAAACATTATATAAACTTGCAATAGAACTCCACATGATCACATTGAATTTTTTTTCTACAATTCTACTGACTAGTCCTGTGAAGTGATCCTCTTCAGTGGAGTAAAGTTCCGTATAAACATTTCCATTTACCAAGGTTCCAGATAAATCTAAGACGTTCGCAATTTCTATACCTGTTAGTCCTCGCATTTTCAGGAATCTCACAATCATATACTTTACATACATCACCACCAATAAAACGAATGAAGATGAAAATGATAAATAGAAATCTAACACTTAAACAATGCATAAATCAAATCAAGAAACAAGGCATTTTCGGTTACACTATCAAGATCTCACATCAGGATCATGCTAATGATCTTGAACAAATAGACCTATATATATATAAATAGCGAGAGAGAGACAGAGAGAGAGAGACAGAGAGGGAAGAGACAACGAGAGAGTGAGTGAGTGAGAGAGGGAAGAGAGATCAAACAACAGTACCTTTGGTGGAAGCATTTGTGGAAGGTTCAGTGCGAATCAAGGGCGGCACGGCAGCTTTCTTGCTCTGCTGATCGTCGACACGATCACCGGACGCGGCGGGGCGCCACTCCTTCGCCACCGCCTCCGCCGCCCCAGCGACGGCGGCGGCGGGGGGTGGAGGTGCTTCGCGAGGAACGGAAGCAGAATCTTTGGGAATGCAACAACGCGTCGTCTCTTTCGGAGTTGTGGCCATTGTAACGGGTTCGCAAGCTCACCAAATCCACCGCAGTAGCGAGTACAATCTACTGACATACAGCAATTCTCTCTGTGCACCACCTCCTCTCTCTCCTCCACACCACACCCCTCCTCTCTCTCTCTCTTATATATGCATCAACATATACGTATATGACATATATCTATATCAAAAACCAGAAAGGACACAAGGAATAACTGAGAAACTAGGGCTTGTTTTGTAACTGGCAAATTGGCAATGCGTCTCTGTATTCACGAGTAAATGAAACGGATAGGGAGAGAAACTTTTAGAGAGAGAAAATTGGATTCGTAGAGAGAGAGAAAGATGTGAGCTGACCGGAGGGAGAGAGAGAGAACTGAAGGGGCGTCGTTATGTGGAGTGGGCACCACGTGCAATGCCCTGATTGTTATTTTTTTATTATTTAGGGGTGGTTTGGAAATTAATTATTTGGATAAATTACATTGACACCCCTTAAAATTTTTGTTTAATACAGTTTCTTTCTTGACATTTAGAAAATTATATTTTCCTCTCAAAGGTTTAAAATTACATTACGAAGTGCCCCTCCCGTAAGCAGGCAATTAAGCCAATTAACACTTTTTTCTGATATGAACAAGTAAAATTCACAAAATACCAATTTTGACCTCTATTTTTCTTTTTCTCTACTCGCTTTTCCTAAATTTACCTTTATTTTCTATTATTTTTCTTTTAACTCTCCATAAATTATAGTGGTTGAGATTTACATCTCTTATAGAGTACCATTTAGTCCTATGCAATGGAGCACGACTCTATTGTCAAACCATCACTACTCACTACCTCTTTCTCATAGTAATTGGTATTGAAGCAATTGTTGGTGTTGGGTAACGGCGTGCAATTTGGGTTATGGTTGTTGGCAGAAAAAGAATTCCATCTCTTTAGAGATTCAATAGGATGTCGTCAATAGAGAGGCTTCACTATAACAGTAGTAGTAGTGGAGGTTGGTTTTCACTTTTGTCTCCATCCCTACCACTATCATCATCTACTTCTGCCTCCACTTTCACCAAACTATTGATTTTGTTGAAATTTCTTAGTCAAATGATATGTTTCTCTTTCTTTCTTTACACATCCCGCCACCAATATCCATGTAATTGAGGCTACCATACCAAGTTAAAGAGAGAGAATGAGCCATTTTGGTCATCACTGGGTTTCTAAAGTAATAGGTTTAATGGATATGTCTTAATGACGAATTGTTCAAAACAAATTCAGGAAGCTTCCACCACTAAAATTGTTTATTGGAAATCTAGAAATGCATATAGGCTTATGAAAGAATATGGTAATTTGGTGATTTCGTTATTTCAAGGAAGGGTATTAAGGTCACTATTTTTGGGAGCAAATGGATGAGATCTTACAGGAGATACCCGTAGGAGAGAACCTGGTTATAGGTGGAGATTTTAATGGCCATGTGAGCATAGATAAACTAGGTAATGAAAGGGCGCATGGTGGATACGATTTTGGTGACAGAAATGAGGTTGGAGAGAGAATCTTAGATTTTGCGTTGGCTTCTGACCTAGTGGTGGCCAATACTATGTATAAGAAGAAGGAGGAGCATTTGATAATCTTTAAGAGTGGATTAGTTAAGAGCCAAATAGATTACTTCTTAGTGAGAAAAGTAGACGGCCTAAAATGGAATGATTTTAAGGTGATTCCTAGAGAGAGTCTGGTCTCTCAACATAGGATTTTGGTACTAGATTTATGTTTTAGAGGGCAATACCAAGCTAGGAAGGAGGGCGTCGTAGGACGAGATGGTGAGACCTAAAAGGGGATAAACTAGAAATATTTAAGAATCGAATGGATAAGGAAGGTACTTGGGACTTAGAAGGTGATGCTAACACTATGTGGAATTCGATGGCCAATTGTATGAAGAGAATCTCAAGGGAAGTGCTTGAAGAGTCGAAAGGAACGGGACCCAGCTCTAGGGAAACTTGGTGATGGAGGGAAGAGGTTCAAGCGGTAGTTAAGGCAAAAAAAGAGTGCTTTAAAAAGTGACAGAATGATAGAACTGAGAAAAACCTTAAGAGCTATAGATTGGCTAATAAGGAGGTCAAGAAAGTAGTGAGAGAGACTAAGTTGAAAGCTTATGATGACCTATACGCTAGACTAGATAGTAAGGAGGGAGAGAAGAGGGTATACAAACTTGCTAAGATACGGGAGAGGAAAGCAAAAGATTTTAATCAAGTAAAGTGCATCAAGAGTGAGGATTCTAAGGTATTGGTGAAGGATGATGAGATTAAGGGAAGATGGAAGAATTATTTTGAGAAATTGTTAAATGAGGAACATGGAAGTACGACAATAGGGGAAGAAATAGCCGATAATACGATGAACCAAGACTATAGGTTCTATCGCAAGATTAGGAATTTTGAAGTGGAGATTGCACTTAAGAAGATGAAATCAAATAAGGCTTTAGAACCTGATGATATCCCCATTGAAGCTTTGAAGTGTTTGGGTAAAAATGGAGTTGCTTGGTTGACTAGGTTGTTTAGCAAAATTTTGTTGACCAAGAACATACCATATGAGTGGAGAAAGAGTATTTTAGTGCCAATCTATAAGAATAAAGGTGATGTCCAGAATTGTAACAACTATAGAGGAATCAAGCTAATGTGTCATATAATGAAAGTGTGGGAGAGGGTGATGGAACGCCGATTGCGAGACATAACAGAGGTGTCAGAGAATCAATTTGGGTTTATGCCTGATAGGTCAACAATGGAAGCGATCTATTTTTTGAGGAGAGTAATAGAAAAGTATAAAGAAAAGAAAAGAGACATTCATATGGTGTTTATCGACTTTGAGAAAGCATATGACAGAGTGCCCCAGGATATAATATGGTTGGTGCTAGAGAAGAAAGGGGTGACAAAAGGCTACATTGACGTGAATAGGGACATGTATGAAGGGGTGGTGACCACTATTAGATCGCCAGTTGGAGAGACAAATAAATTTTCTATCACTGTAGGGTTACATCAAGGATCTACCTTAAGTCCTTATCTTTTTGCTTTAGTTATGGACGAGTTGACGATAAATATTCAAGATGACGTGCCATGGTGTATGCTTTTTGCAGATGATATTGTGTTAATGGATGAGACTAGAGAAAGAGTTAACACAAAGTTGGAGATTTGGAGAAAAGCTCTTGAATCTAAAGGATTCCGGATAAGCAGAACTAAGATAGAGTACATGGAGTGTAAATTTAGTAACAGTAACAATGAAAGCAGAGGAGAAGTGAAGATTGAGAACTAAGAACTGCCTAAGAGTGAACATTTTCGTTATTTAGGGTCGATTATCACAACGGCGGTAGAGATTGATGCAGATGTGGCCCATAGGATTAAGGTGGGATGGTGTAAGTGGAGAAGTGTGTCTGGGATATTGTGCGATAAACGAATACCCACTAGACTAAAAGGTAAGTTTTATAGAACGGCTATTAGACCAGCTATGTTGTATGGGACGGAGTATTGGGCAACCAAGAAACAACATATAGATAAGATGAGTGTCGCTGAGATGAGGATGCTAAGGTGGATGTGTGGTAAGACTAGACAAGACAGGATTAGAATGAGTGTATTCGGGAATGGGTAGAAGTAGCACCGATAGAAGATAAGTTGAGAGAGAATCGTTTGAGATGGTATGATCATATTCAACGGAGACCAACAGAGGCAGTAGTGAAGAGATGCGATGCTGTAACGGTAGATGGAAGTGTTAGGGGACGGGGTAAGCCTAAATTAACGTTGACTAGCGTTATAAATAGAGATATAAATTTACTTAATTTGACTAATGAAATGGCCTTTGATAAGGCCGCGTGGAGAAGAAGGATTCATGTAGCCGACCCCATTTAATGGGACTTAAGACTTGGTTTGGTTTGGTTTGGTTTGGTTTGGTTCTATTAAGAGCCCAAGTCTGATAGGAGGTGAAATGTAGTTTTTCAAATGTTAAGGGAGAATATGTATTAAATACATATCTCAAGGGGTGTCAATGTAATTTGCTCTAATTATTTTAATGATTTTTAATTTTTTTTTTAATAAAACTATGTGTGAAAAAAAATAATGTGCTAAATATTTATTTTTTTTTAATTTTTTAGCTAAAGTAATATATTGACAAATGAGGCCTTAATATCTATTTGGAAATATATTTTAGCTAAAAAATTATTAAGAGTATATTGAGAATATACTAAATTAGTTAAAAACTTTAATACAAAAAGTTTTTTTTCTGTTTATTTTACACATCTTTTTTATAAAATATTAAAAAAATTAATACAAAAATTAATTTTCCAAACAAATATTAAAAAGTTAAAAAGTCGAAAACAAATTTAACTCATACAAAAAGACAATTTATTTCTCTTCCACCTACTTTTTACACTTTTTTTTATATAAAAAACCAAAAAAATCTTTTAAAATATATGTATATTTTTTTTCATCTCATATTTTAACAAACAAAAAAAATTACTAAAACGTCACTTTTCAAACTAACCTTAAATTTACTCTTTCTTTATTTTTTATTTTTTATTTTTTATTTTTTACTTATAAGTGTATTTTCTTTTTCTTTTGTTTGTCTTCTACTTTTGATTTTAGATTTTTTACATTTTAAAAAAGGGCTTATCTGAGGGACCAATAAGATAAGTGAGTGGTTGGAGAGGGTGATAGGAGCATCTACTTCTGCTTATAGACATGTATCAAGGGCCAACAATATTCTTGATATTAGCATGATAAGGCCAAAAGTTGAAGATATTTAGTATTGCATACGAACTTGGAATTTTCAATTTATATGTAAGCATCGTATCAACCAAGGCCAATGACTCATTTGATTCCAAATAATCCAAATAAATCTCTATCCACCACTACAAATACAAAATGTTGTTAAATATGACTGATTTTATCAATATTATAATCCGACCCCTTTATTGAACAATTTGTAGACGCTTCTCTCTGTTTTGGCTATTTACGAAGTGTCGTGTCTTGTTTAGTTAACAAAAATCAAGTTACAGTCCAGCAACATAGGCAGGAAACTATTAAACTGAAATTTGGAATCATTACATGATTTTCTATTCAGAGTATCAAATTAGAGAATCACAAAAGTTTGATAGATTGTTTTTAAATTATGAATTTAGCTAAGAATTTAAAAAGTAAAAAAAATAATAAAATATAAATTAAAGAATTCATTTGTTGCTTATGTTTGTTTGGCTGATTAAGTTGAATGAGATTGTTAGTGTTGGCTTTTTTAGCTTTTGAGAGTTAACAGTGGTGGTGTTTGGGAACTTAGGTTCCGAATTTTTTTCTCATTTTTTTCACTAAAAGACAAACTTTTTACAAAATCAAAAAAATCACATCCAAACAAAATATCACA